ATCGTGGACAATCATTAAATTGGTTAAATAAACTTGACAATTTATTATTTCATTTATTATGAGGTTGTAATATCCCGCTAGTCCCTGGGGAGGTCCAGAGGATGCGTCCTGACAACAGTATATTAGTAGTATATATATTATAATATAACTGAAAGGGTGTCTAAACATCAACTTTTTAGGGAAATAATTGCAAGTGTGTGTGTGTGTATTTTTTCCGGCTTGCGTGTGTGGGGGAGGGGGGGGGGGTCTGTTGTGGGCGTGGCGTGATGCCTTTGCACTCAATATTTTAGTCCAGCCTTAGAGTAAGGTATGTATAGTTTGTTAGTCGAGTCGAGCGCTTGTCCCGCATGCATTTTCATATTTATGTGTCTCCAGATAGTGGCGGCAGCGTCGCAGTCAAAAGTTCTACGTTCACACTTGCCACACGGACATGCAAGGCGAGTCTGACTGTGCGCCTCTTTGTGTGCGAGTGCGAATGCGTGTGTGTGTGTGTGGGTTTGTGTCAGTGCGACTGTGTTTATATGCTAATACTTTAGCACACATGCCGGGCGCTATTATCGCGACTGCCACTTGGGCGTCGAACTTCCGTTTGGCGCCGTTGCTGTTGCAGTTGCCGCTGAAGCTGACGCTGCCCCTTTTCACTATACGCTGCACTTCAGCTGGAGTGGCAAACAGCCAGCTGGATGGGGGGCAGGGGGATCGGCAGCTCTTGCAATTCCAGTTTGAGTTTTGTGTGTTGTAAAATGAATTTTACTTCATTTTGATATGTATTCCCAGCTGGCTTTAGTGCCACTGCACATAAATACACACACACATATATAAACACAGACTCGCATGTATGTTGCATTTGCAACCACATATTCCGCATGTGTGTGAGTTTAAGTGTGGGATGTTTGTTTGCTCGTTTGTTTGTCAGTTTGTTTGCATTGCGCTATCACAATGATAATAAATTTTATTAATCTCGCTGTCACAAACACTCACACAAACTCTCCCATACATGGAAGCATTTGATTGTATACTACAAGTATAGTATATAGTAGTCTGTCTATCTCTCGCCCTCGCCATTCAACACTATGTGCTGCGCTGATCAAGTCCTCAACTGAAACGTAAACGTGGCCCAAATGCCATTAGCCAAATGCGAAGCCACCGTTGTGCTGCTGCGCCATCGACGCTAGCTTCAAAGTCAGCGCCGTCGTGTCGCCATCGCCGACGTGAGCGTGACGTCAGCATCGGCGTCATGTTGCCGTGCAATTTATATCCGAGTATCTCTGAGCAGCGCATGTGCAGCAGGCGAATTTATTATGTAATTATTGCTGTACATTCTAATTGCGAGCGTTATTTATTTTGTCTCGCAGCGCCGCATAGCAGTGTAACAAATTAGCGCACAGTGGGACCGAAATGGAAATTTATTATCAAAAATGCTCAGCCAACAATTTCAATTAAAAGAAGCAAGGACAATGAACACTGTGGGTTGGTGATTTCTTATAGTTAGCACTATTTGATTAGTTAATTATATCAACTAAATCAGTCAGTTAGTTTTCTAGTTTCTAAAGAATCTGTAAGAACTAATAAGTTACTTCATTTCCAAGGTGCGCCTTGAAAATACCTAAAATGTACTTTTCAAAATATGCTTAATTGTTTCCTTGTATAACAATAATTAAAATTGGTTTATTTGCACCTGTCGACGTAAAATAAATATTGTTTATTTATTTATATACGTTAGTTTCTATACATAAATTTTAATATAAGAACTAATTACAATTTAGGTGTGCCTTGAAACTACCTTGGCCATCGACTCGACTTTTTAATTATAGGTATTATAGTATTTACAGTAGTCGAATAAATGTGCTTAGTAATGAGAAAATATATAATTTAAAATTGTTTGATATTACTTTAATCTGAAAGAGTGATTTCCAATTGAATTATGTAATAAGGGCTGAGTGTTTTGCTGTCCATAAGCTGCTCAATTTATTCAATTCTTTGTCATCTTATTTGGCACATTCGTTGAAAGCCCATAAAACTGAGTACAAAAGCACTCCAGCACTGGCGGCCCATGGCCTGCTTGGGGCTCTGGGGGCATGTGCACTGCAGCTTCGAAAACATATACAAAAGTTGCTAATCAAAAATTTATTTAATTTCTTGCCGCACAAAGGCCGAGAGCTTGGCAGACTGGGTGCAAGTGCGTCCATTGCGGTGGTCAGCTAGGAGTGGAGGTGGGTTGATGGTCAAAGCCGCCGCACACACGAAAATCCCCGTGCTGGGCAGCGATTAAGCCCCCAAGGCAACAGATTTGGCGAGCGGTGTGTGTGTGTGTGTGTGTGTGTGTGTGTGTGTGTGTGTGTGTGTGTGTGTGTGTATGTATGCTGTGTGTGTGTGTCCTCGTTAAATGCTGAGAACCCAATTTGATGATGTCGACCGCAGAGCGCTATGTGTGTATGTGTGTATGTGGTGTGGCAAGCGGGAATCTGACTGTCGAAATGTGTGTCGGTGTAGGTGTGCGGCGATGTCACTGCAGGAAATGCAGTCTAAGCCCCAACAAACGCCGGAAACGTGCGTCCTTCTGCCGCCCCCCAACAACTGGGTGGCACGATTAAACTTTTTGCATTAAAAATTGCAAAGCGCGTTCTCACTGTCCTTCGTACACTGAGCTCAACAAAATGCAGCTCTAACAATTCTTAATACATCAAGTATTAATAGCAAAAGGTGCAGGATAAAATAAGACTATTTTAAACCGATTTTGATTAACATTCAGATTAACATAAAAAGCTAATAAATATCAGTCGTTTGTAAAAAAAAGATTTATATAATAATAAGGCTTTATCGTTTGTAAGAGACTTCGCCTGCGTATGCATTATTTAGCTTGCCTCGATCCTTTGCCGGCTAATATATTTCGATTATTTTCAAAATAAGTAATTCAGTTATATCCAGAAATCTCAGATTGAAGCGCTTTGACAATTGCTAGAAAAGGGAAACTTTTGTGAGAATACAATATAGTTAAATAATTATGTATTGGTTGATTTTTTTCAGTGCACGATGCTTTATGCCCCCAATGTGTGCTGTTGTTTTTGCACCAAATTTAATTGCAAATTTTATGTAGCCGGCACGCCCACTTGACAACTAAACAATGTGGCGAGCAATGATGTTTTTTGCAACTCGCTTTATTTTTTGCTCAGCTGTTTCCTGTTTGGTGGCAGTAAATCATGAAATTTATTTAGCAGCATCAGAAAATGTATAAATTAAATTGCAAAATTCTGTTGGAAACTGAAGTCGTCTGGCTGGGCCCGCAGGATACTTGGCATTAATTTTTATGCGCTTTTAATTTAGTTTGGCCAAACCAAAACTCTAACCCGTCCAAAGGCACATGTAAATTTGGCTGACAACGCGCCTCAAACTAGGCCACACCAAATTGTTGTTGTTTGCCCAACTGTGATTTAATTAAAACTAATAGTAAAGTTTTGTCCCCAGGCATTTGGAACAGCAGTCAATCTTGACGGTCCTGCCAATGCAATTTGCGACAACGACAAAGGGCCAAGAAATGATTTTTGAGGAAAAACACAAGGGGCGGCCTACAAGTCCCCAACAGCCCTACAACTAAAATGCCAAGCACTTGCCTGACAATTTGCAAAATCTGACAGCACTCGACACCAATGACAAGGGGGCCGAACACTCCTCAGATTCGTGTGGGTGGCACGCACTACCAAATCGACCTCAAGCCAAATGCAGAAAAGTTGAAAACACTTTGGCCACAATTGCACAAACTGCAAAATGAGCATGAAATCAGATGCATGCCGATGACTGAGCGGCCAGACTGGGCCAAAACTTAGAGCATCTGCTGCAGTAACTCCAACAATTATCAGAACTGGAGATGGCCGTGTGGCTGAGCTATTTGCGACCCCAATGTATAAAGATGCAAGATACCAGAAGTTGAAAAGAGTTGGTAGGGTAAGTAGAATTTCTTGTTTAAGGTGTGTCGTCTTAGAAATTCAATAGCCAGTTCAGCCAAATCTAGAATATATAATTAATTTGATTAAACTGTAGATCTTTTGCCATCTACTTAAAGTAAAAATCTTAAACTGTTTAATATTCTGTTTTTTATTCCTATGCATCAACATACAAATATTGTTCAAACATAATACAAATTATATAAGACATCCGATAAATGCAGAAATAGTCTGCATTCATTCAAATGTTACCCAAAAATATTGTGTTGAGGTCTGTGAAAAACGTAATTTTCACTTCAATTATGAACATGTGTCATTAAAAAACAAATTTTGTTTTATTAATTTTTTTCTTTAAAATCTAATTGCAGCTTCGAAACATTTTAGCAAACAACAGCAAGCATTGATAATAAGTTCAAAGGCTGGTTGAGGTATATTAAGATCTGCAGCGTCTTACTGCACTCAGATTAGTGTTAGTATGAATCTTGCGGATTCGTAACGGCATTCAGTATTCGAACTAAGTATATTTTCAGTCACTTGAAAGCTTAAAATGCAAGAAAGTCACACTTTTCTCTCGTTGTCCCCTCTCACATTATTTTTGATTTTGGAGCTGCCTACTCATTCTGAACAGCAATAAAAAAGAATATATTAATTGTTTGTAGCTAGCTTATCAATTGATAAAAGAGGTATAACAATCTATTATTTATGATAAAAAAGACCCTTGTTTGTACCCGCACAGCATTTGTCTAGTTGTTTTTGCCATTAAGGCTCTTTATTGCATTTCCATGGAAGTTAGAGCTTGCGATAAGTGCTCGTTTTCGTGGCAATTCACGCACCCATCACTATGTGTGGTGGACCGGCTTCTTGAGTCGCTCATTGCACTTGAGGCCAAAATGCGTACTGCCTAGGAAATGAGCAATGAAAGTGATGGAAGCAGTATGCGGCAAGGTAAAGGCGAGCAAGCAATTAGGCAACTGTAGAGTGCGTTCCATACCCCTTTTCCCCCTTTTCCTCTACCGAAATAACTCCCCTACCAACCCTTTAGAAAGAAAATGCGTGCACTTAAAACAACTTGGCTTGCAGCTAATTCAACTCATTTCTTGTTAGCTCGAAACAGAGAGGATGGCGGTTTCAAAAACGTACGAGACTTGGTTAAAGTTGGTCGTGCACCTGCAGGTGAAGGAGCCGTGGATGAAGTGGCCTCAGATTTGGGAACAGCAATTACAGTTGCAGTTTTTACTTCTGGCTTATCAGATATTTCTGCTGCGGTACGACTGGTTGAGGCATTGTTATCCTTCAAGTGGAAGTTGTGCTCCGCATGGGAAGTTGGATTTCTGTCAAATGTAAGGGAAGTCACTGAGCGCGTGACGGGAATGGCCCTCCTCCTGGTAATCTCTGGTTGATCTTTTGCACTCTTGGGCGCAAATATCGTAATGCCCGCATTGCGGGGCGTGGGCAGCAAACTGATGCCGGAAAGAGCACGCTTCATAGGTTGGGATTTGGTGTCCACTGCTGGGTCAAATGTGACCATATGTTGTTGTTGCTGCTGTTTGGCGTTCAACTTCGGCGACGTTAGGGGCTGCACGGAGCAGTTAGAAATGCCGGAATCGGGCGTTATGGTGACTAGATAAGAAAAGGATGCACCGCCAGGTAGTTGTTCCTGGATCTGAATCTCTTGCTGCTGTGGTTCTAGGTGTGCTTCTGGCTGCTGTGCTGGCACCTGCTGCTTCTTCGTTGGCTGTGATGGTTGCTCCTCCTGCTGATTCTGTTGTTGCCTTTGTTGCTGCTTTTCCTGTAGCTGAATGAGCAACTCACCAATTTGATTGACCAGGTCGGGTATTTCGGAGGCATCAGATTCAGCGCCTTTCTCCTGATCGATCTCTGATGGCTTGCGGACCAGCTGAGTGGTGGTACGCATCCTCTGCAGCTTTGAAGGTGTCGGACGCCCTGATAGCTGCATGCTAGAGACGCCCCGCGTCAACGGCTTATGTGCTGATTTGCTCTGCTGGGGCTGCTGAAGTATGGTCCCCTTATTGGCAGTCCTTAGACTACTCGTCGATGGGCTGCCCTCGACTTGGGCGGATTGTTGGCGCAGCTGCGACTTGAGGGTCGTGCCATTGACTCGTTTGATTTCAAAGGTGCGCTGTCGTTTGATGCCAGGTCTCTCGGCCAGAGGAACATTTGGAACTGTTGTCGAGGTCGAGTGCATGGCCTTCTCCTGGTGCTGACGTAGTTGCTCCAGCTTGGAACGGATTTGTTCCAAGTTCGAGGTGGTGTCCTGCAGCATGGCGCTCTGATCGATTGCGTGCGACTCTGTCTCCGCTTCAACTTCCGCTTCAGCTTGCTGCAGATCCTCGAAGGATGAGGAGTGTGCAGTAGGCGTACCAGGTTGCGAGAACTCCAACATAGGCTTGCTCAGCTGCTCGAGATCGGCTTGAAACTTGAGCTCGTCCTCGACGGCCTTAAGCGAGGCAATAGCATGGGCAGCTGTGCTGGGCAGCTCCGATTTGCTTGGAGTCGTCATTGTTGCTGCCGGAAACTGCAGTCTTATGGAGTCCAGGAGAGGCAGATCGTTGCAGATCACATGCAGATGGGCCATGCGCTTCTTCTCCCGTTTGCTGAGCGCCTCGTTTAAGTCACGTCTCGTCGTCACTCGGACGCCATCAATCAGGATGAAGGGCACGCCGCTACTGTCCAGTTGGGCAATTTCTTCCATGCCGCTGATGTCAGAGGTGGAATTTGTCTGGACAGCATTTTCATGAGTAGCAGCTGGAGCTGGATGCGCAACGCCACGATGTTTGCACTTCGATTTCATCTTCTTGTCCCCCATTTGTGGTGCTGCGTGCGTAGGATAAGCATTTAGTGTCATCGTATAGTTTGTATTTTCCCGCTGCCCGCTTCTCATAATACCCCCACCCCCTGAGCTGTCCGGCTTATGCAAATAAGCCGCAGCCTTTTCGCTGTTTGTTTCTGGGACGAGGTACGGGCGGGTGAACGCCCACACAAATGAGAGCGCGAGCAGAACGCAAATCAAATTTGAAAGGCGTGGCTGTAGGCCTGAAACCACATGTCGATTGCTATTGCTAGCGCATTTCGAAATCCGACACGACCCCAAACCGAGAAGGTGGCGATATAAGTCCGTTGCAAATCTGCCTGACTGTTGATACAAATGTGCTCAAATTGCAAACTGGTTGTTCTTTTTTTTAGTGGATGAATAGAATGAAGCTCACACATCAAACATTGTTTTTCTAGAGATTACTAGCTTGTATATTAAAATGAAACTACTAAGAAATGCACTTAATAATCACCTTTGATAAGCTTTATAAGATTTTGTTAATTTTTTTTTTAAGTTGACAAATTTTGCAGCGAAAGCTGAATGCCAAATGAATAAACAATATTGACAAAATTAAAACTACCGACAACTTAGAAATTCAAAAATCTTGAAAATATCAAAGCCATGTGTTTAATATTTTCAAAAATGTTTTACTTTTTTATACGTAAATTAACCGGATCGAGCTAAACAAAAAGAAGCTGCAAAACTATTCAGCTGACGAATTACTTGTATTGTAATGAACGTTTGCTTAAACCATCCTGGATTAAGTCTTTATGCTTTGAGATTTAAAATATTCTGATACAGAATAAAATTTGTATATTTTTAAAATTACCTTTTTACTAATATTATTTATAAATTGAAGCTTATTTGAGCGATTGAAATTGGAATTAGGCTCATACCTTAATATCTAATTTGTTTTAAACTTTAAAGAAAAGTGACATTTATTTATCAATGAAATATAGAAAGAATGTTTTAAAGCGATATTTTCAATAAATACTATATAATCTATAATTCGTTTGATATTATTTATTTGAAAATACAGCCACTATTTGACGAAACTGTTTAGCTTAATTTTACGTAAGTCATGATTTCATCAGCTACAGATCTAGTAACAATTAATCAAAAAAATAGTTCAACTAAGTGATGATGGTAAGAAGTTGTGGATAAGTAGAAATGGGCAGAAATAAATCTTTCTTGTCCAACTCAATACATCTTCAATTTTCAAAAACTAGATGGAGCCTTAAATTTATTACAAAATATTACAAGCATTCCACTTTAATGTTTATATACGAGTATATATAAAGTCAAGGGAGTTGTATCACCCCAACCTCGCTCTCCCAAACACACACGCTAAGCGAAACTCAATTAGGCATAGTGCCCGTTATTTCCCGCCTTTGATTTGCATTTAATTGGTGCGGAAATAATAGGAGGGGTGTCTAGACACAGGACGAGCAGGCTCAGCCGGCGTCAGGTGATGGGAGAAGCCGCACGTCTGCGCTCGGAAACTTTGTTGACATACGCGCCTTGTCAGGTTTCATAAAGTCAACTGAGCTGGTGGCTCAGAAACTCACCTGACAACGTTGACCGCAAAATAGTTGCTGGCTAAGTCCGCAGCAAACAAAATTTTAAATCCTTCAAAAGCAGTGCGCTTTGTGCCTGCCGCTGTGTACGCCGTGTTCGCGTGGCAAAAAACAAAATTGAAAAGGATAAAAGTTTTCAAAACCAAAAGAGGGAAAATAAAAACGTAGAATCGCTGGCAAAACGAAAAGAAAATGTTGCTTTAAGTTTTTTGGCGTCCTTTGGCGTGCGCACTTGTGGCTGCCTCAGCTTTGATGCTGTTGTTGCTGGTGGTGTAATGGAGATTGTTGTTGCTGTTGTTGCTCAGCTTCGTTGCCAGCAGCGGCAGCAGCGCAATCCAAAACTTTCTTTTCTACTGATAAAAACTTAAATGTCGTTTGCTATTGCTCTCGTGGTTGTTGTTGTTGTAGTTGCTGTTGGTAATGTTGTTGTTATTACTGCTTCCACTGCTTCGGCAGATTCTTCTTTTTTAGCTTTTTCTTTTCCTGTTGGCTTTTGGAAATCGTCGAGCGCGCTACGCAATCGTAAATGTTTGATATCCCCAAAAGGTTAACAATTTTAGCTGCTGTTGCTTCGCTTTTTCTTTTTGCTCTTACTTGTTTTATTTTTGAAGAATTTTGCGCTTTGCCAAATCAAACCACAGCGCCTTTAGCACACACACGCACACACATACTCCACAAATAGTATATGTAGCCTATATATGTATGCATATACAAGTAGGTAGGTAGGTAGCAGCGGCTCTGCATCTGAATTTTAATGTGGGGCTTGAATGTGTGTGCGAGTGCTACATTAGGAAAAGCGTACTTAGCTCAATTTTGAAATGTGACAAGAAGCGAAATGAGAATAAAACTGAGTATGTGGCAACATTTTTGAGGTATAACTCAAATACTGGCATATGACAAAAAGTTTCTCAAATGCTTCTTTGAATTCCAATCTGAAATTCTGACAACCTTAAAAGGCCAACAGCACCCCCGCCTGTCTTGTTGTCGCTGACCAGCGGACGAGTTGCTCTACTGTTCCTGGCTGGCTATAAAGATTTAAGGGAGCAATGTGCTCTTTATTATATTTACGATATTCACCCCCGACTTAAGCGCCTAAGAGCGCAGTTTTGTCGAAGAGCGCAACGTACGATAAAGGACTGGCAAGGACTCGGCAAAAGTGCTCTCTCGCTGTACTAAAAAAGCTCGCACATCTGGCACAGGTCTGAGCTCATTGTGTGATTATGCCGAGCACGCTGCCGAGCTCTCGTACTCGGCTGGTTACGGCAACGATGATGTTGATGGTCGCCAATAAACAAGTGAACTTTGCACGTTGCATGGCTCAGTCGCAGACGGTTAATGTGGCAGTAAGGACGTTGGCGCGGTTTATCGAGAAAAACTTCGGTGTTAGTCGAAAGACACGAAAGGCATAGTGAACGCTACGTACACGCATACAGGACTCGACACGAGGCGCTCAGAATCGCATGTTAAGCAAACGCGCGTTGTTGGCATACCAAGTGTAAAAGTGCATGTAAGGAATATGCAGCAGGAGAAGTAACAGCTGGGAAACTGAAAAACAGTTTGGTGGTTGCCCATAAATGTCTTTTAAGCATGCAATTGCGGCCGAGGCGTGAAAAGCATTAGTATTAATTTTTTTGCCCTACCCGCTCCCCCATTTTGTTATTGTTCGTTCGTGCCAATGCAGGCAATTAAAGTTGGTACTGAACCTACATACAAGCATGAAATGACTGACTGGCTGAGTGAGTGACTGACTAACTGACTGACTCTTCTGTGTCGCGTTTTGCTCGCTGCACATAAATTGCATGTCAGGTCGGGCCATAAAGTGCATGTCGCCATCGTTACAAGCTCGTGACACGTGCTGCTAAAGAAATCCCAAAAAAAAAAAAAAGAAAACAAGTGACAAGTCAAATGCCAAAATTGAGAGGAAAAACGCAAAAACGTAAACGCGGCTAAACTCGACTGCAAAAAAGTGTTGCATACCAAAGGGCGCCGCGCATAAATGTGACGCTTGAAGAAGCAAACAAATATACAGACATATATGCATACATTTCTGTGTGTGTGTGTGTGTGTGCATGTTGAAGTGTGTGTGCGCGCTACAGCCTTCTTAGCTAAGTGGAATTACGAGACAAAGTCAAACAGCAACAGCAACAAATATCAACGACAGGCAAGTCAAATTTTCTGCACATAAATACGAGTACTTGTATGTATGTAGGCTCATGCTTATGGTTTTTTTTTGCGTAAGCGTGTTTAAGAGTGTTGTGTGTGTGTGTGTGTGTGTGCGTGCGTGCAAATTAAAAGCCAAATCAAACACAAGCAAAAATCTAATTAAAGCCAAAAGGAAATATGAAAATGGAAATGGTTTGAAGTGGAAATGAAAATGAAATAAAACCAAACACCAAAGGCTGGCCTACTGGCCTGGGCGGGTACATGTGTGCGTGTAGGTGTGTGTGTGGGTGTATGTAAATGTTCGCTCCTGTTTGTTTATATTTGTGGGTGACAAGCCACAATGCGCCTCCAACCATGTCCTCAGCAGCCGCAAATATCGCATATAAAATTCACAAAAGCAAATAAATGGGCAGAGAAACTCAAAGCTAGCGCAGCAGCCGCCAGCCACAAAACGGAGGCAAATACACCTACATCTTCATACATGCATACATATACGAGTACAAGTGTTTGTGTGTAGGTTGCTGCACACCTACATAAAGCTCACTAAACAGACTTTCTATGTTTTACTTACACAGCAGAAAAAGTAAAATGTAATATTAATAAACAGGGCACCAGCTAATCCCAAATATCCCAGCAAAAAAAAAACCAAAAAAAAAAACAATTTTAGGCTTCAAAGTCCACTTGAACATTGTTTTTGCATGCTGTGCCAAAAAGGTGGGACCACTCGTGTCAGCACAGGGATTTAATGTTTAATTTTACACTAGTTGGCATAAACATGTTGACATGAAAATGTTTCCCACAGTCTTTGGTCATCAGCTTAGCGGATTATTAAGCAAAACTTCAGGTAACTTTCATGGTCACAATGAAGCAAAGTTCACGCTAACTTACAAATGAATTAAACATGAAATTAAATAATTCTGAGAAGTAAACAAGAGAATCTTGTCATTATAAATGTACCAACAACTTTAAGGAAATATCAATTTAGCAAGTCGGACTTTTCATTTATGCGGCAAATAAAAGTAAAAGTTGTTATGCACGGATCCGCTCCTTTTCTGAAGCAACTTTTTTTTATTTACTTGTTATTATTTAGTTTATATATAGAACAATGTTTCTTAAATGAACTACTGAAATATTCTAACCACATCCTCTCATGATAAGATTGCTGAACTGTCGCTGTTTTAATTGTCAACAGGTAGCAAGTAAAAGACTACTATAAATAAAAAGGGTATTTCTCTGTTTTATTCACTTTAACAATAATTTCTATATTTTTGGGATTGAAAAAGAACTTTAAACATTACTTTAAGTTAAAGTAATCAGCCAACAGATCCGTAACAGTTTTGAAAACTCATTGAATGATCCTGGATTCATGGCAGATTAATTCAGATAGTCTTCAATGACATTTTAATGTATACATCTTTTCAAATTTCAAATAATTTGAAAATGTTTTATCTCAATTTGGCAAAAGTAACTGCTGGATACAATTTAGAGGCATGGCCTTCATTTTCAAATCTGTACTTGAGCTCGCACTCATGTTAATTGCCAAAAGACGACAAATAGCAAACAGAGTAGTGTAATATCTATGTGAAGCAGTCCCCACAAACACAGACACAAAGATCCACAAACCACTACTCATCGACTGACTGGCTACTGACTGAGTGAGTGACTTTGCATATTTCTGCTGGGGCCCATTTGCCGCCCAAACAATTAACAAAGCTTTGCCTTGGCCCACACCCTGGACAATTACTGGCAGACGCAGAGCTTGTGCATATTTGACTTTTGGCCCGCCGCTTGGGGCCATCGTATGGCGTGCTGTGCGGCGTATTAGACAAACAATGCATATTCTAATAAGCCAAATGATTTGGCGACCGCCTACAACAACAAAAATCATTTGCAAGCAAACAAAAGCGCGGCACAAAGGCAAATAGGGGGTTATATAGTAGACTGGGTCGATCTGGGGTAGAGGTGGCGCAAGTTATGGCTGCCCCAGGTGTGGGCTCTATTGGTGATATTGGTGATGGTGGCGCGTTGGCAGTTGGGTGCGTATGCCATAATTTCAATTAAAATTCAATAGAAAATATATGCCTGAGCAAACAATGACGTAAATTAAATATCAAGAGCATTAAATTGCTTTTGTTGTGCTTGTTGTTGTTGTTGTTGTTGCTTGGCCTGCTATTGCTTGCACATCCAGCGACATTAATGGTGGGAACGTGGGCTGTTCTGTCTGTTCTGGATAGCGTGGTCTGGTCTGTCCTGGTCTGGTCTGTTGGCCTACCATGAAATTGAATTGAATTATGCATTGAGCGATATATCACAATGGCAACATTGTTGTCTGGCAAGCGTGGTCGGTGCGGGGCTGGACTGACAAAAGGCCACAAAAACAATAACAGAAACAGAAACTATCCAATGTTGGCCTCGTTTCGATTTCTGTCTGTTTTGTATTGATTGGCTATTGAAAGGTGCTCAGTTTTGTGTTGGCCAAGGCGGCGCTTCAGCGGTAATTGACATTTCAATAATTTCATAAATATTTGAGGGCTGCTCGCTCGCCCTTTCCGGCTACTGGCGCCATTTTCCGGCCTTTCTTTTTTCAATTTCGATTCACGCCACTTCTGCAAAACTTAAATATTTTTTCACACTTTCGTCTTCGTCCTCGATCTTTTCCTTGTCTTCGTTGTCGTCTGCGTCTTGCTCTTGGCTGAAAGTTTTCCAATTATGTGTCGTTTTTTGCCAAACATTTTGCTTCAACGCCCCACTCTACTATTTTATTTCATTTTATTTTATTTCATTTTTTTGTTATTTTTTGGACTTGGAAAAAGTTTTTATCGGCGGTGGCAGCTCCGCCTTCAGCGAAAATTATGTTGGCACGGCTCATATGATTGGCGCCAAAAACTTCTGCAGAAAATTGTTATCATAAGCAAAGCGCAGAAAAAATAAAGCTGATGGGAAATTTTTCAGTTGCAAAATGGGAAGGAAAAAACTATGTTTGCACTTTAATAGGCAATTTGTAAGAGTTCTCTGTGCTGTGGCTCTGTGTGTGTGTAACTTTGAGAAATCCATTAGCAGAGGCTATTGCTTATCCATTATGAGGACACACTTGGTGTTGTGCGAAGGCAGGGAGTTATCGTCAACCTTTTTGCTGCTTAAGTGTGCAATGGGTTTGGCTTAAATAGCTCTCTCGGATTAGACGGATCGCTATATAATAGAGTATTTAAAACGAAATAAAATGTGAACGTTTTAAGTACTTACAGACAATAGTTAGACTGACTAAACTCTAGAGAGGTAAATGAGAGGGTATTCAAAAATTTAGATTAGACCCAAAAATTTAAATTGAATCTTTGTGTGAGTCTTAAAAAGCTTTAATCGGTCGAGAAACTTTAAACTCTTTTGGGCCTAGTTCTAAATTTAAAAGCCAATACAAAATAGAAGTTTTTCAGAAGTATGAAAAAATATAAGCATGTATCCCTTTTGAAAACTCCGGCGAAAAAAATCTCTTCAGCCTGCAAACAATTCAATGTTGTAGAAAAAGTGAACAGATTCTGTAGAACTCTTGTTAAGGTTAGAAATTGGTTATAACACTCACG